AAGGGCTAGGACGGAGGGAAGAGCCGGGCGGTGAGGACACAGCCAGTCTGGTTTGGAAACTGGAGCCACCAGGAGACAGAGTCTGGGCACCCTGAGCAGGGCCAGGCTGCTCCTGTGAAAGCCAGGGGAGCGAGGGCCCTTCGGAAGGCTGGTGACTGCAATGTCAACACGAGATGGACCGCGTCTGAACACAGGAGCATCTGCCATTGGCAAATAGGCTCTTTGGGAACAAGTGTCTTACAAACACCAAGAGAAATGACAAGTTAGAAAGGAAGTGAGAGGAGAATAAGGAACAGGAAGAAAGGAAGCAGAAGGGACAGGAGCCAAGCTTGGGAAATAGTGGGACAGAAAGTGGAGGAGGTGACAGGAGGGGGCCTGACCAGCACAGTGGAGCACACGCACCCCGGGGAGCTCTCTCAGAACCTCCATCTGTCTCCTAGGGCACCGGCGCCAGGTCAGACATATGGGAAGTCAGAATACCAGCATTCTGGAGCCATTTGAAAACTGGCACCTGAGTCCAGGTGCCTGAGCTGGGACCCCTGGGAGAACTGCGGCAACCCCCAGTGACCCCTTCGCTCCTCCCTGGTCAGGCCTGAGGGTCCACTATCCCTGTGGCATCTACACTGTGACTAACAGTGCCCAGAGCCACCTCAGACCCAGACTGTTGGAATTTGGGTCCTGGCTACACCTCTTTCCAGCACCACCAACAGCCAACTAACCTCTGTGCCTCAGTTTCATGATCTGTAAAAGGCAAAAAGGAATCGTGACCTACTTATGTGGTTCTGAGAATTAAATGATATAATACAGGTGCACAGCTTTTATTTTATTTACTCGTGGCCCGGTGCACAAAATTCGTGCACGAGAGGGGGGTGTTCCTTAGCCTGACGTGCACCCTCTCCAATCTGGGACCCCTTGGGGGATGTCCGACTGCCAGTTTAGGCCTGATCCCACAGGGCCATGTGGCTAGACCCATGGCAGCCAAACAGAGCAGCTCTGCAGAAATAAATAAATAAATAAATAAATAAATAGGGATCGGGCCTAAACTGGCAGTCGTACATCCCTCTCACAATCCGGGCCCGCTGGCTCCTAACCGCTCACCTGCCTGCCTGCCTGTTCGCCCCTAACCACTCTACCTGCCTGCCTCATCACCCCTAACCACTCTGCCTGCCTGATTGCCCCTAACCCCTCTGCTTGCCTGCCTCATCACCCCTAACCGCTCGCCTGCCTGCCTGATCGCCCCTCGCCTGCTCACCCCCAACTGCCCCCACACTATCGGCCTGCTCGTCCCCAACTGCTCTCCCCTCCTGGCCTGATCACCCCTAACTGCCTCTGCCTCGGCCCCACCACCATGGCTTTGTCCGGAAGGACATCAGGAAAGTCTCCTGGTCTAATTAGCATATTACCCTTTTATTAATATAGATTTATTATTTATTTATTTATTTATTTTTGCAGAGCTTTTAATAAATAGTGCCCAGTACCCATAAAGAATGCAATGAATGTTACTGCTGTCATCTTATTACTTGGCATTTGCTACCGCAAATTGCCACTTATCTTCTATCTCTTAAAAACAAAACAAAAAATCAAGCCCCTTTCTGGTCAGCCTGAGCCTTCAGCCTGTTCATTTCCTCAGCACCTGGCAGTGCTCTGCACACAGTGGGTCTTCAACCGGAAGTTAGAGATAATTACCACCACCTCCAACCACCACACCGCCAACTCCCCGAGCTAAGACGGAAATATTGCTCCAGGAAAGCCAAATATCACTAATTACTTCAGGTCAGCAGCCAGGTCAAAATAGGCGGACAGGTGTGTGATAAAGCAAATATAGTAAAATATCCACAGTAGAATCTAGGTGGTGGGCATGTGAGTGCTTACTGTGTAATTCTTTCAACGTGGCTGTATGCTTGAAAATCCTCATAAATTGTTGGGGGAGAAAAGTAAGGTTTTTTTGGAGGGGAAATGTTCGTTCCTATGGTGTTATTTTTAATATAACTCCAGTGTTAGCTGACAGTTCACTGTACTAGTATATGTGACCCGTTAAGTCAGGCTCAGCCTGCAGGTTGAACTCAATGAATGGGGACTTTGACTTGTATTTGATACACTTTCCCTCAGAGAAATGACTAAGCAGTAATTTCCATACGGACATAATTGAACCTTCGGGGCACCTAATGCAGAGAAAGGATGGGGGTGGGGTTGTGTTTGCAAACTGCGTTCGGAGTGGGGCCTGGGCTCCAGTCCCTTCCCAGCTAAAGATGACAGGGGGTGACTATCCTACCCAGGTCCGCTCACCTCCTTCCACCTCTGCCAGGGTGCTGCCCCGGCTCCCTACAGGCCACTGCCCAGGTGTGGGGTGATCAGGTAACCTGTCGGGGACACTGGATCACTGGGTCAGAGGACTCTTGGAGCTTTAATCCCGTGGTTCTGGGGTCCTGGCATTTCTTTGTTTTGTAGGGGTGAAGGGATGGAAGGAACATCTTTCAAGAAAGCCACTTCCGACTCACCAAGAACTTGGCACAATGAATTCCAGCGGGACCTTCGGTCATTCTCAGAGCCGTCTGCCTATCTGCGCGGGTTTATGAACAGATCCCTTCAGGCCAAAGGTGCCCCAGGGAGGTGGGGCGGGGAACAGGATAATCCCAAGGAAGCGCCGGACGCTTTCACTTCCCCAAGTCGGCTTCAGGATCCCTCGTGAAAGGCTGCCCATTGGTCTGTATTCCTATCACACCCCGTCAATCCCACCCCCTTTGCAAACAGAGTCCTGGCAAATGAGGTCGATGCCTGCCTGCCAATTGCGGGGGCTGCTGGAAGGCGACGCGAGGGTCCAAAGAGGCAGGAGAAAACAGCGGGGCGTGCACGGTCGTAGAGCCCTCCCTGTGGAGCCCAGAGTCCCCATCACCGCGGGCGGGCCAGCCCCGTTGCGTTCCCGTTCCGTGCACTTGGGCGACAGGTGGGCTCCCGGCCCCGCCGCCCGTGATACAGTCG